TTTTAAATAAATTGAGTGATTAATTTATAGTAAAGATCATGAGTCAATTGAGAATAGTTTATCACGGAAGATTTGCTAAGAAGTTTTATATCAGTATGAAATGGTCATCCAATTTTTCCAGGTTTCCATGATGGTCTAAATTCAATCGACTCATGATCTCAACTATTGAAATTATTATAATATTAACAAATAAACCAATTCTGTTATTAATTAATATATGCTTACTAGTGATTGGCTTCATGAGGTATTTTATAGAGTTCTTAGTGAGATACAGTGAACAGTGGAGTTAAACCGGGTCTGTTGTGAGGTAGTAACTCGCTGATGACAATGGTGGATTTGTGACTGAATTACGTGGATTAGTTGAGATTAGACATTAACAACGTTGGATGTCGGACAGCTCAGTGGTCTAGTGGTAGGTCGTTGGTTCGAATCTGTTGAGTCGCAATGGTGAATGCGCACTTCTGTGAAGTCTCATACTAAGACGAAATGGCTGTCCAGTACATGCAGGTTTTCCATGGTGATCTATCTTCAATTGACTCATGATCTCAACTATTAAACTAACTATGATATCAACAAGAACACGTCTTCTGAGATTAGTTTATAAGTTATATTGATATGATTTATGTGAATATATTAGATGACATAATCATTAGAAGATGATGATGAAAGTCAAGGAATACACTTAACCACATTTAAATGATAAGTTTTAGTTTAAAATAAAGTTTGTGAAAATTGTTGAACGCAATTGAGATAATAAACCTATCTTACTTAGACAAATATTGGATTGGACGGTTGTTTCGTTTAGGAATCTGGCTTTTAATAAGCGTATGTTCACAACTCCTCCATAGGTGGTAGAATACTAGATCTTTAAGTCCCATGAGAAGGGCATATAACCTTTTAAATGTTGATCTTCAATCGATTCCTAATATTTCAAAACCATCCTCTATGTTATTCGGTGAGTATTTGATTCTTATCAGACACTTTTAAATTGCACTGATCATAGCTTCATAACAAAACTCAAGGAATTACCTCCCGAAATTAACCCTTAGAAACAACAGATTGACTATCAATACAATTCCGTTTATTGTGATTATTTCATGCTCGTGATCTCTATAAAAGAGTATTTTTTTTTGTTTGAACTTACTTCAGTAAAATGCCAAGTTTCTTTGAAGTTATTTTGTAATACGTGTAATGTGACTAAAAAATTTGTTTGTATAGGTCGATTGAAGTACCAAAACATTCTCTTAATTATTATCACTATTCTCGTGATGCAATTATGTTTTTTCGATGGTTAACAAATGATGCGCCATACAATTTACATATTACTGGTAAATAATTAAGTCTTTTCATGACAGTTTAGATTATTATGTCATTTATTTAAACTGTTACCACTTGTGCATTACAAGTGAATGTCTCTATCAAATTTCTTTAGTGAATCATTACTTCACATTAAGTTAGAACGAAAGTGCATTTTTCTGTTAGTATACGATTAAGAATTCTATGAAGTGTCGTATGTGAATATACCTAGAGTATCATCGGTGAATTTAAATAATGTACTAAACATGGAGCTGATAGTTGAAACTTTAGTAACTAAAATTATTTCATTTATTATTATTATTATTATTATTATTATTATTATTAGAAGCTTCATTCAACATTATATTTTTGGTACAATATAGAATTCTCAGCATAAAGTATTTCAACAAGTTTCCTTTTCTTATATCTCGATCGATTGTGACGATAAATTTTGAATGATGACCAGTTACATGTTAGGAGTTCGGTAATCCACATTTGATTAAAGTTCATTCGCTTCAATGCATATTGCCAGACACCATGATGTCGCTGATCGTACCTTTTTGTAACCCGTATAGCGAAAGGTTGTAAACTTTTCATAAACGCGCCTGAATTGATTGTGAGCATAATAGACATAATGATGTGCTAAAACAAACAAGAAAACAGATAACTTGATGAAATATCTAGATCGGTGGAACAGGTTGCCCAGACATTCAAGCAGGCCGCCATAACTAATCAAATGGTAACTCATTAAAAAGGTATTCACACCCAAAGTTGACATAGTTATGAAATAATAAGAAGCTATTTTTAAATCTGTAATTAGATATTTCAATACTTTTAAAAAACTTGGCAAGACCAATTAAAAAATATTAGCTTTCTGACAATCAGTAGTTTCTCTAAAATTATACGTATATACACTAATAATTAAATTCATGATTCGATCTAAGCTACACCACAACTGAAAACTGTAAAGCACTGAACAACCTTTTCGTCAAAGTATGAGACTAATCAGCATCGCTCATTCACAACTCTACATGTGGGACTCGAACTCGGGACCTTCGATCACGCGCATCAATGCTTAACCTATAGACCACTGAGACAGCATCCAATGGTGTTAGTGTGTAACTTCAATCAATCTATGATCTTGCACAACCCTACACTCATTGTTTGTGTTGGATAACTGTCTCACACCCAAAATGGATTAGACAGCACTTTTCACGGTTTCTTACTAGAACTTCATCTTGATAATAAACACTAATGAGCACATGATTATTATGGCAGTAGGGGATTCATGAGTCGACTCGTGAATACAACTATTACAAATCCCCATTCTGAAATAAATATTACTTTATTAATTCATACTTTAACAGAAAGAAAAGAAAAAAAGGAATTTTATCTAAATCATTGTCCTCACCTCTCTTGTTCAGATTTCAATAAACCGATTATTTATTTTCTAAATTTAGATTACGCGACATTTAATACATATTGTACACTTGTGACTTTATTACGTTATATGTTACTATAGTAATAATAATAATAGTAATAATAATCATTTATTAATCTTATTTCGCATATTTTGAATTGCGAAACCAATTGTTTGATGTAAATTTGGTTTCATTTTACGTTTTCATAGTTAAATGTCACATGGACAATCGACAAAGAAAAGTCAGATTACAAATTAAGGAAGTATTAATGTTGATAAAAATAACTATTTGTTATGAAAGTAGATTATCAAATTAATAAAAAATACACAACTAAAACTTATAATTCATAAAAAGGATAAACAGAACAAACGATTTTTGGTTACATAGTTGACATGTATTGAACTAATTCATTTGGTAAAGACATGAAAGTGCTTCTAATCTATAAGTTTATAAAGTTGAAAATAAATGATATTCTGTTGTGTGCTACTGATATCGATAGATATAAGTAGTATGTATCATTCATCGGAAGCGAAATGTCTGGTGACAGAAGGTTAAGAAGATCAAAGAATAAAGAACCAGAGTAGAGAGTGATTGGTGTGGAAACGAAGTAACAGTCAAGTCTGAGACGATTGTTTGACATTTTGTAAATGAAGTATTTACTTTACCGTTCTCAGATTTTACTTGGATATTCTGTAGTCTTGTGTCAAATACCATTGGTTGTACCCACTGATGTTATCGTTTATTACAATAGGAATAGTTAGGAAAACAATCTGGAAAGCTCAATTATTTTATTTGAATCAAACGCCTTAGTGGATAATGTTAAGAAAAATCGGGCTAATCAAAAAAGTTAACTGTAAAATATAGATGAGAGGTAAAATTCACATTATTTTCTTCAAGTCGAACTTCATAGCCTTATGCTGCTATACACTCCTTCTGATCTGTCTTACATAAAACTTTTGTTTGTCGACATAATTAGAACACATCACACTCGTCCCCATTTTAAACGACCGCTCTTGCGGTTGTTCTGCTTGCCATTACACGTTTGCTGCAGTCTGCGCCACGCCTCACGTCGAACTTTCCAGTCTGTGGTGCTCTGAGCTTTATAACTCCGTCAACCTACCGAGTCATTGAAATCCGATGTCCACATTCAACGCCTGAGGTCCAATAACTTGCCAAACTATCTACACACAGTTTTCGCTCAGCAGCTGAACGTCCCACTGCTCCTCTCCGTCGATATCAACTGCTACAGCCGACGTCAACCCGTCAAAACACTCCACTCGATGTCACCTCCCTTCACCAGACCGCCCCAACTGGTGCCTCTCAAAGCCCCACGTCGGCATCCGCAGAACTAAACTCTCCCCCATAACAAATTATCCGTGAGAAGCTCATTCAAATTTGTTTATTTTGACTTCATTGAAAACTTTTATTTTGAATTAGACGATAGAAACCTTGATGTATAGTCCATGGATAAGATTTACCTCAAAATATTAATCTATCAAACTGTTCTCAGCTGTTTCAATATTTAGTATTCTGTTTTCTAAAATCAAGGTACTGAACTTCAATACTACAATTATAAATGTTCAGGATGAATAGTTATGTTATCTAAGTAGACAACTTACTATTTCACATTGAAATAAATAAATTTACCATTCACTTTATATAAAAGATAGTTTACATTTCATTTGATAAATAGTTATGATCGTATATTTCTATTAGCATTAAAAATTTTTACGAGCGAAAATATTTCATTACATATCAGGTAACCAACTATAACTACTGAACATTAATCATAAACTAGGCGACAAAAAAAAGGGGAAGCATGAATGATCAAAAATCTTAGTAATGAACCAAGCAAGTGAGAAAAAAATCTGCAATAAAAAAATAGTTACTCATAAGTAGTGTAACTAGATAAATGAGTCGAGTAAAGATTATTGCATTTCCCTTCATTTAATAACACTGAAAGTAATAACAAGTACAATAAAAATTCTCCCTTAAAATCTAATTCAGTTATAAGATGTTTTTTTTATAGAAGCTATGTTAGTTTGCTTTCAAATTTGACTAACCAGAATCGTACAATCCGTTGCTCCTTCCTATTATTTATGATGAAACAATAAGGTTATTACTTCCCAGGAAAAAGATATAACAGCTGTAAAATTCATAATTTGTATTTACAGTAAGAATTACTGTATAAGACTATTGTCGTTCTATATAATAATAACAATAATAATAATAATAATTTTATATTCTGAAAAATAATAATTACAGAATTCACGCCAGTTTACAGGCATGATCAATTTGATATAAGTAATAACGTTAAACGTGCAGAAAACAAACATGTGATAAAAGAAAGTTTTAAGTATACTAGTTCACTAGTTGTTTAAGTAGTACATATATTACAGCGATCCAATGCATCAGCCGGGAATTTTTAATATTTCTTAAATGGACAGCCTGTTGATTTATGAACGGTGTAATTAAGGTCAATTCGTGTGCCAGATCGAAATAATGATAATTATCTACAACTAGAGAAATTAAAACGAAAACAGAGAGCACGGAACAAAAAATCAGTAATTACCAAAATATGTCAATCAGGTCTTCCAAAATGCATGTGTCATGTGACACAATCATCTATTGTTGATATTATTCAAATTAGTTAAACTTGCTGGGGACAGTGTTAACATAAAGTGACAGCAAGTAGGTGGTTTAACTTAAGGAATGCACTAATAAAGATGACTAAACATTTAAGGTTCCTAAAATATCACTTGTGGAATGAGATACACTTAAAGGCGCTAGACCATTCAATGCATTTTCAGAGGAGCAGTATGCATCGATGCAGCGAACAAATAATGGGAGTGATTTTATCGTGCGGATAGATTGTGGTAGGTTATTCCAGAGTCTAGAAAATTTACAGGTGAAGTAATTCATATAAAGAGATGATTTAGAATGAGTTTGTTTCACTAGTGCCAAGGAATTACGGATGTAATAATGAGAGGTTTCTGCTTGTTGAATCGCGTGATCGGATGTAAACGATAGTTTATGAAGTAGTTTGAAGAAAAAGATAAGATTTAGTTTGAGTCTCCTCTTCCATAAAGGGTCTAGCCCAAATTTATTACATCTAGAATTATAAGTTAACGTACAATCAGCTCCAAGAATACGAAGTGTAAATCGTCTCTGTACTGATTCCAGCCTTAATTTATCCTTTATGACCGCACTGCTAAGAATAAACGTGCAATATTCTAGAAGAGGTCGAGCACAAACTTTGTACATTAGAATACATAATATCAGGTGGAATCATATAAACGACAACTTACATCCTTGTCAACCCAATTCTGGCTATATTCTAGAGACTAAAATGTCTTTTTTGTCTGTTATACAATTATTTTTGAATTCTGAGCATAAAAACCTTCCGATCTACCTTGATTTACATAATGTTATAGTAGACGTGTGCAAATTTATTGGAGTTGAATTTAATTTACAGATATTCAGCAAATGCCACTCGATAATACAATCTATACTCGAAATTAAATATAAACTATCTATCCACTTTTTCAATACTGAAATGATAACAAAGCTAGAGAAAGAACCTTTATAAGTTTGCTTTACAGAAAACTCTTAAGAAACAACCAAGTATCAAACTTCAATAACTGATTCCTTATGAGTAGAAAGAGGAGTTTAATTATATCTCACATTACAAGAACTCTATGAACTTCTAGTTCGAATCTCATGAAAGTAGAGTTAAACCTCCTATAAGAAATGCTTATTCGAAATGAATATCCGCCGAGATTTATTGACGGGAATAGAAACTTAGATATTCAATAGCTTCCCAACCAAAGAAAATCTAGGACATAAACATCGATCTCATTGATTGAAAATCTCTAGATGTCTTGTAAAGAAAAATACGTAACTCTTTCAAAACAACTTTCTTCTCATCAACATATTTAAGCATTAACAACGTTTTCGTCATACATTTAGAAAATTCGTACCATCATAAGATGGATACCTATCATATTTTAGAGTGAGTAAACACAGTTGGTATAAATGATGTAACACTGATAACATTAAAATATCAGTAAATTTCCTGTAAATAGTCCTGTAAAATGTCAAAAAACAAATTTACACCACATGGTCTAGTTAAATGATAAAAGATACACTTTGTAAAAAAGATTTTGTATGCCTGTTAATAACTACTCCATAGATCGAAATAATTTTTAACGATGCCATCTATAAGACATCAAATGTCTAGCATTATATAGTTAGTGTGCTCAGTATTGTAATGAACGAAATCTCAAATGGTGACAACCAATTTATTATTTCACACAAAAATGACAGAATATCTTGGTGAAATATGAGAACCTATAAATTAAATGCTTCCTTTGTAAATCTTCCATCAGTTTTCCTTCGCATTTTGTCTGCTTTATCCAATTTACAATTCCTTTCTATTTCCGTTTCCGTTTAATTCAATTCAATCTTCTTAGCCTTCTGCTGCCAGCTATTCAACTTTCGATTAGCTTTATATACTAATTATGTTGACAGGCATAGTAGCATGCATTACAGTATCAGCGAACATAATCTTTTGAATATCAGTTTATTAGAAGCATTGCTAATGTTTTTTTTAACTCTGATTATCATTTATTTAAAGCAAAAGAAACGGAATAACGTAAACTTCTTCGACAAGGATGGTTTGTCTGTTGAAGTGAGTTGTTCACTGTTGAAAATAAACTTCAAAGACCATAGTTAACAAAAACAAAGAACAAATAGAACGGAAGACAACTGAATTGATTCATCAAAAATAGAGCTAAAACTTTATACATTTATCATTGATATAAACTAAAAACCCTAATATTCATGAGCATTACAACTTGATTTAGCAGCTAAAACTTAATCCTATCAAAAATAACATTGTTATTTAGTAAATACAAGTAGTATATATATTTATATCTTTTCTTTTTAGTTGAATTATCTCTAACTAATTAGTAGACAAGTAACAAAAAATCTGAGATCCATACAGTAAATAATTCATTTACAAAATGACAGTCAGTCGTCTCAGACTTCATTGTTCCTTCTTTTCAACACCAATCGTTATTTGTTCTTGTTCTCTCTTCTTTGATCTTCCTAACCTTCTACCGCCAGTCATTTCACTTTCTATTGATGCTGTATACTACTTATATCTGTCGACATCAGTAGCACACACCACAGTAAGTAACCGCAATCGGGAGTCGAATGTTTGCCATCAGAAAATTGAAGAGAGTAGAAAGGTAAACAGAGAGCAATCAAAATGACAACGGAATTAGAGGAATAATGAGGTAGATAAAGGACAACGAGAACATGTGCAAATGATGTACTTAATGTATGATTTTTATATTTTGCTAAGTAACAATAAATTGATTTTCCTCCACTTATGTGTTTGTTCATAACAAAGTAAAATTCTCCTCTAAATGGTTGAAAAAATTCTAACTATAACGAAGAATAAATATAAGGCTTCCCTACATTTACCTAATAACGAAACATATTGTATACAATGTCGAGTTCCTTATGCCTATGGCTACATTACAGCTTGATAAAATCTGGTCAACATTAAAGACTTGACAAACATAATCAGTGTAAATATCTATGTAACTTGGTAAAATTAATGTTTGAAACTACTTTTCAGTAAAGGCTATAATTCTCATTTTCATCTGATTAACAAAATAAATCATCTTTTGATTGATAATAATGATATCATGCATCATATGATAGCTTTTATCATAATCATGATTCCCAATTATTCATTTCAAAATGTTTTGTTAATATCAAAGAAAGATCAAAATGTGCAAACAATCCAGATAGACCTTATCTTTGATTAGAAGTTATAAACTGAAAATCCGTGAAAAGTTTTGATAAATGGCATTTCATCAGCATGAAACTAATCATCTTAGACATGTGTACTTTAGGATGATCATATAATGTTTATCTGATTTGTTACTTCACAGTTATCGTTTGGATCAGATATATTTTCAATGAAATCTCACGTTTCTACTATAATTAAGTATTACTTCAATAAGGAATAAAGGAAAACAACCAATTAGTACTAATCATTTCGTGTTTTGGTTTATTCTTTAATTCATAAAATTACTATACATTCCAAGATCGTAATTTGGTTAATTCAAAAATAGATCCATAGTTAACGATGAATGACAAGGTAAACGATTCACAGTGGCTATCTAGCATTCTTTATTACTCTGCTGTTTTCCAGAATGGGAACCCAATTCTTACTTGTTTATTTCATTCTGTTTATAGAAGCATCTTTTTCAAGTTTCTAGAAATGGAAATCATTCAGAGTACTTATTTTTAATAGTTGAGTTCATGAGTCGATTAAAGATAGACCACCATGAAAAACCTGGATGCACTGAAGGGTCGTTTCGTCCTAGTATGGGACTCCTTAGTAATGCGAATGCACGATCCCGCACACGGGATTCAAAGTGAATGTACAGAACAATAAACAATTATTAAAAATGGACAGAAAAATCAAAAGAGATTTAGATCTACCATACATCATGAAAACATTGAAATTATTTTATTTTTCATGATTAATTCACATTCATATTTTCATATAAACAATTCATTATAAGCATATATATATATATATATATATATATATATATATATATGCATATACGTAACTTAAGATAAATGCTACAAACTGAACATTTTCACTTAGTTCATAAGAAAAAGAAAGCCTATGAATGCCCTGGTACGGCCGAGGGTGGGGAGAGCTAGATCTCCCTCTAAAAATGCTCTCACACGGCCACGCGTATACAACAACTGCCAGGGAAGTTCTTCACACTGCTTTCTCGCTGCATTACTGTTGTTTACGAAATTGAGAAGACGAAAAGAGAATATCCAGCGTCTCAAGCGGGTTGATGGACACGGAGAACCCACCTAAGGGAGTTGGAAAACCCTGATTCCAAACTAATAGTTCACATGGTCTCCAGGATTCGGAGTGAACAAATGGCGCATGAATCAACAGTTGGTCACTGGATACCACGGGACTGCATCTCGTTACGTTGCTCCACCGCCTTGTGGTTCAGACCATTAGGTCGATGATGATATAAGTTTGATCACGAGTGATGGATAAGTATCTTTAAAATGGTCATCCTTAGTTCAACCTAGAAATGAGACTTTCTTTTATTAAAATACAACAATCCTTTTCCATAATTCTGACTAGAATGAATTTATAATTGAAATTTAGCAGAAATTCAATGACAGTTTCCACCAATACTTAAATAGTTTGGTATTGCTGTGAATCTGGCTTGACACTGTCTAGTCAGCAAAGTAAATAGCATAGCTTTATGAAAATGTTTTCAAATATCGTTACAACAGTCACCCATCTATTGTACTTTTTTATTGAATATGAGATCGGTGATATATATATGGAAAATCATGACGTATAACTTATAATATTTACTGGATCTTGATTTGACCATTCTGATGAATAAAACACTTCTTTGATATTTTCCTTAGGTATTCATAATTTATCGAAAAA